TATCATCTTTCTTTCATTTTAGATAATTGCGTCTCAGAAAAGAGCGTATTTTATTTCCGACGGGCATCTTACTCCCCCAGGATTTCTAGTTTATGAGAATGCCGACCCGTGCATGACAACGATTTCCACTCTCTTCTTTACTTAATTGCCTTTCTCTTTCCCAACGCTTAAAGCTCATACGAGTCAGTTTAAAAAAGTATAAAATGCATTTTTAACAATGTTTGCATGGAATTTATATACAGGGAACTTAATCGTGTCTCGGTTCAATGTATTTTTTCAGAAAATTAGTTGCATATTCTGAAAGCAGTGTACAGCAAAGTTAGCTCAACGTAAATCACAACAATACAGAGTAAAATATAATAAATGTTTACATTAAATATTAGGACTATATCGATGGTGAAAGTGCAGAATCGCGTTTCTTGATTTTTGAAAGTTTTGAGGTAGATGCATGAACATGTTGTTGAAGATGTCGTCTATATGTCTGCAAGAGACTATAATCGAAAAAAATCGGGAAGTCACCTAAAACAGTAGAACTTTTATCTGAGAAGGAATTGTAAGCGTGAAATTCTTTTTTCATTTCTTAAATGATCAAAATCCGCCAACAACAGGTTTATAACTCGAATTGCAAAAATGCGTACCTCGTGATGAAGTGTCAATTTTTAATGCCAAAAACGCGAATCTCTGCATTTCTGCCGTATTTTCTAACAGTTTGAGAAATTATTCAAAATGCTGGTGGAGTCTGAAAAAACATCTTATTCTTGCTATCCCTAAGAATTATTACCCTTCCACTAGCAATAAAAAGGAATGTAGGCAGTTTTCTTACTCTCTTGGAAAATCGTGTTTTCCGAGATACGCACTTCTGCACTCTTACCATCGATTTGTAAAATGACGAGGAATAACTTCTTTTTTAGAGACATGCCAATACATACAGCTCTTTAAAAATAATACGGAACAGTGGAAGCATTACAGTCATATTTCTATTTCTGTCCTCAGCAAAGATGCCACGCTCCCTCATTATTAACGAATAAATTTAATTTTTCGTAATTTTTAGTAATGAGCCCAGTGATTTTAAGCATATGCACACTGTTTAGAATTTGTGTAATTTTAGACTTTTAATTTCATATTTTTTTAAAATTTTAAGTACGATATAAACGATATTTACGATATTTTTTAATAGATTTTAAATTCGATTTTTAACACGATGATATAAATATATTTCACATAGGTTCATAAAAATAAAAATTTCCGTAATTATATAAACCCAAGCGAGTAAGAATAAAGAAAATTTCCATCCTACATTAATTAATAAAAAAAAACAAAACTAGGCGCTGAAATATCAGTATGTTCGGAATTGTTTAACTGGCCGCTGAAATATTGGGATGATGCTTTTAAGCGTACACGGAAAAAAAAGAACTGTCATTTTAACAGTCACATTGAATGTTAAATTTGTTTGACGTTTCTCTGTTCTTTTACTTGTCGTGACTGCTAATTGAACATTTTAAGTATGTTGAAACAAAAGTATTCACATCTGTTAGCTCAACATCTTATTGATGCTTTTGAAATAACATTCTGTATGTTATTCCATCATCGCACGACTGTTGAGTTAACGTCAGGTGCGGTTCATTAAATCAACAGTTCCTGAAGCTCTTGGAATGACTGTCATTGGCTTTTCATTTTACAGTCCACCCGTTATTTTGACATTCGTTTGGATATTAAATTTACATTCGGGCAGGTGTTGGTCTAATGTTTTGAAGGCCGTTAAATTCGCAGAAATAATCTGCTAAAGCAACAGCGAGGGNCAGCAAAGTTAGCTCAACGTAAATCACAACAATACAGAGTAAAATATAATAAATGTTTACATTAAATAATAGGACTATATCGATGGTGAAAGTGCAGAATCGCGTTTCTTGATTTTTGAAAGTTTTGAGGTAGATGCATGAACATGTTGTTGAAGATGTCGTCTATATGTCTGCAAGAGACTATAATCGAAAAAAATCGGGAAGTCACCTAAAACAATAGAACTTTTATCTGAGAAGGAATTGTAAGCGTGAATCTCTTTTTTCATTTCTTAAATGATCAAAATCCGCCAACAACAGGTTTAAAACTCTAATTGCAAAAATGCGTACCTCGTGATGAAGTGTCAATTCTTAATGCCAAAAACGCGAATCTCTGCATTTCTGCCGTATTTTCTAACAGTTTGAGAAATTATTCAAAATGCTGGTGGAGTCTGAAAAAGCATCTTATTCTTGCTATCTCTAAGAATTATTACCCTTCCACTAGCAATAAAAAGGAATGTAGGCAGTTTTCTTACTCTCTTGGAAAATCGTGTTTTCCGAGATACGCACTTCTGCACTTTTACCATCGATTTGTAAAATGACGAGGAACTTCTTTTTAGAGATATGCCAATACATACAGCTCTTTAAAAATAATACGGAACAGTGGAGGCATTATAGTCATATTTCTATTTCTGTCCTCAGCAAAGATGTCACGCTCCCTGATTATTAACGAATAAATTTAATTTTTCGTAATTTTTAGTGATGAGCCCAGCCCAGTGATTTTAATCATATGCACACTGTTTAGAATTTGTGTAATTTTAGACTTTTAATTTCATATTTTTTTAAAATTTTAAATACGATATAAACGATATTTACGATATTTTTTAATAGATTTTAAATTCGATTAAAAATCAAACACGATGATATAAATATATTTCAGATAGGTTCATAAAAATAAAAATCTCTGTAATTATATCAACCCAAGCGAGTAAGAATAAAGAAAATTTCTATCCTACATTAATTAATAAAAAAAAAAAAAAAAAAAAAAAAAANAAAAAAAAAAAAAAAAAAAAAAAAAAAAACTAGGCGCTGAAATATCAGTATGTTCGGAATTGTTTAACTGGCCGCTGAAATATTGGGATGATGCTTTTAAGCTTAATCACCGCTATGCGAAGCCGCTTATCTAAAGCAGCTTTTTAAAGTGTTACATTTGAATTTACATGATGATTATCAATGCCTGAGTGAACAGGAATATAGTGATTTGAGAAAGTCGAGTTTGCTATTCATCATGAGCTGTAAATTGAAAATACGCAATTTGCTTCTCTGATCGAAGCTTTAGCGTGAGAGCAAGACTTTATAGTACATTGGCGCTCCTCCAAAACCGAGTTCTGCGGATTACTTAACTCCCGTAGCAAGAGAACCCATTTGAGGCGTAAAATCGCGTGAGGGATTTCAGAGCGTCAGGCGTCGAACGATAACTATTTTAGCACGTGCGTCGGGGGGTTGCCTACTCGCAAACTTGAAGGCATTCTGCGATCGCGATCGACAATGGATCACTAGACAAGGTGATTATTCAATTGTCCCATTGGTTTCCCTTTTCAGGTAGGTCAGATAAGGAATGAATCTTATATAGCCGCAGAGTTCCGACTTTAAGTTACAATTTCACGAGCCATATTGGCTAGAAATACTAGTGTTTAGGTGTCATTTACAATTTTTTAGAGGGCTTAATAATTTTTTGCTTTCCAAGGGAGCAAATTTGATCACATTTAGCAGAGAGAGACCAATGCAACTAAAGTGATGTAAAAATTATGCCTCTGCATTTTTGTTTAAGAAAAATACTTAGAATAGCGAAGAGTTTTGGAGTTGAATAAATACAGGGTGTCTACTAACACGGGTTTGCCAAAAATCAGTACTTTTACTTAGTCCTTTTTTAGTACATTCCCAAGAAATTTAGCATCTCCTCAACAGGAAAATTCAGTGTTTTTTCAGTACCTGTTTTTGACGAAATTCAAAAAATTTCAAGAATTTGAAATTCTTGCTCGAATCGCGACAAAAATGACGTGTACACACAATTGCATTGGTGGCTTAAAGACCCACTGAAGAATCGCGATTTAACAGGCTAATACTATTCTAAGAATAAAAAGGGGATTGCGTACTTTCCAGGCTTCATCAAAAAATACGTGTGGTATGAAGGGGAAAAATCCGGCCCATTCCAGTACTTGAGTACTTCCGGACCGCCCTTAAAAATCAGGACTATTTTCGGACTTGCCGGAGATTCAAGACCGGTAGATACCCTGTACATAATAAATCATTTATGACACTTAAAGTGTGGAAATGTATGTCCATGACGACAAAAAACTTTTAAGGGTTGGAACACTGGTGGGATATCAAAAACACAGAAGAACAAACGGGAAACAAGGTTAAAAAATACACATACAAATCCGAGACGTTTCAGCCCAAAACTGAGCCATTTTCAGTCGGATGAATAAAAGTAAAATACAAAAATTCCAAATAGAAATCTGCAGACTACACGATGACCGAGAAAATCAAAATAAAGCTTAATTCAACAATTCACACCCCAAACAAGGTTTTATTTTGATTTTCTCGGCCATCATGTAGTCTGCAGATTTCTATTTGGAATTTTTATATTTTATTTTTATTCATCCGACTGAAAATGGTTCAGTTTTGGGCCAAAACGACTCAGATTTTTATGTGTAATTTTCAGCCTTGTTTCCCGTTTTTTCTCCTATGTTTTTGAAATCACCATTGTCACGGACAGAGACAAGAGACCCTCCACTAGTATCTTAGCGAAGGTGGAAGCTTTTACTTTCAGGACTTCAGCATTCTACTGTTGACTTACGTTGATGTTTAACAACGTATTAGCAGTTTCGTTTTGCAAACAAGCCGAAAATGGCCGAAGTTTGGGAAACTTGTTTTTTTTCTCTGCTTGTTTGGCTCATGACGTCACCCGAAGTTTATCATCCAACATGCAGGTAGATCAACAGCCGAAATAAGGGTGATAACTGTTGCTCCCTTATAATTATCCATAAGGAATTGTTGAATCTCCGAAAGTAAAAGCTTCCACCTGTCGCCAAGAGGCTAGGGGAGGGTCTCTTGTCTGTGATTGTCACGGGCTGCTGTTTTACAAATGTTAACTTATAACACAGGTGGGTTGATATTGAAAAATGAAGTGGTTGAGATAGTGGGTTTGAGATGTGAGCTTACCTGAGACCCAGGAGCCGTTGAGGGGCGGGGCCTTGAAGTGGGCTTGGGCGATGTGCTCGAGGGCGAACTTGGCGCCTTTGCTCCCGTGCCCGGCGAACGGGGGCGAGAGGAGGACGATGAAGAGGAGGATCAACCCGAGGACGGCGACGATGACCAAGAGGGCGATGCAGATCCCCCGCCAGTTCCGCTCGTTCGGCGTCACCGTTATCAGCTCCTGCAACCACAAACATCATCATCCATTACCACCAACACACGCAACATTCACTCGGCTCGTTAAGGTCTCGATAGACGATCAAATTCCCGAACCAATTACCATCAAAGTGTCGGGAGTCATCAGTCTTAGACTCATTAATTTTCTTAAGGCCTACATAGACGATCAAATTCGCGAACCAATTCCGATCAAAGTAGCATCAAAGTGTCGGGAGTCATCAGTCTGAAACTCATTAATTTGCTTCATTTTAAAATGAAAACTTGGCAGAAATGTTTCCTGTGACAGGAAATGATGAATGGTGGTACTCCGGTCTGATCTTACTTTGAACAAAAAAGTGCGGCCCGTCAAAATTTGATGGTAGATGGTGACCACCAGTCATCAGCATGTCTACTTTGATAGGAATTGGTTCGGAATTTGATCGTCTATGCAAGGCTAAAATTTTAAAAGGAAAACTTGGCAGAAATGTTTCCTGTGGCAGGAAATGATGAATGGTGGCACTCCATTCTGATCTTACTTTGAACAAAATAGTGCGGCCCGTCAAAATGTGATGGTAGATGGTGACCAACAGTCATCAGCATGTCTACTTTGATCGGAATTGGTTCGGAATTCGATCGTCTATCCACGGCTTTTCAGACAACACAGAGAAAACTGTTGCGTTTTCCGTCGAGTTACCCGTGGTACACTGCCGTGCTAAGGAAAAACGCCGAATGAGCCTTTAGACGTTGCCAGATTCACCTCAATAAAAACCGAGTTTTCTTGGAAAATTGCGAACATTTGTCTTCAATTTTTTCAGGTAATTTTGATCGCAATTTGATCTAAAATATCTGAAAATTCCAAAGAGGAATACGAATAACTTTCCTCAAAAATACGTGTTTTATCAAGGGAAATTTGGCAACTCCCGAATGTTCATACGGAGTTTTTCCATAGCACGACAGTACATGTAAGTGGAACGTAGCTATGCTCCCATCGCTCAGAACTCGGCTTTCGGCTCCCGCCGCTAGAGCTGTGGCGCTTAGTCTGGTTATCAACAATTTTCCAGTCTCGCCCGAAAACAAATATGACTGTTTGCCAGGGCTGGATTAAAGGGGTGGCCACAATGGGCCGCGGCCTATGGCGGTAAATCTAAGGGGCGGCAAACATTTGCAATTTTTTAAATGTAGGTATAAAAAAAAAATCGGATTTATGAAAACAAAATTACAAACGAGAAAAGGCGACAAAATCTCCCCTTTCCTGAGAGTATAGTAATTTCTAGTTTTGCCGTCTCTTAGTGATACAAGAGACAGCACCCTCAATAAGTCGAGTTAAGAGAGAGACCAAACACGCAGTTTGGCCTGGAACGGCGCGACTTACAGAGAAATGATAACGAGGACTTGAGATGAAAAGGAGAAGCCTTCGGCGCGGCGAGCGGCATGTAACACATATTAGCGCCTACAAGACTGCACGAATACTTCACGCATTGCATCAAATACAGTGCGGTCATTGCGGTCAGCGTGAAACGGACAGCGCCTACAAGAATGCATGAATACCTCACGCATTGCGGTAAACACAGTGCGATCAGCGTGAAACGCATAGCGCCTACAAGACTGCGTGAATACTTCACGCATTGCGTCAAACACAGTGCAGTCTGCGCGGCGCGGCGGCGGAAGTTAAAATCATTGAACCACATTTATGTTTGTTCTTTCATAATTTTTTCGTTCATTTCTTATGAATGGAATGCCTTGTCCACACAGAGATAGGTTTACGGAACTTAACTTTCGCGCAAAGTTTCGTGAACTTTTGCTAGTAGCGTTGACAGGGCTTTCCCTAAAAATGTGTTCAACACGAGCAAATGCGTCTTATGCACCCCTCTCCCGCTGGCACGTTCATTTGATGGTTTTTATCGAGTTTTAAAACGAATGAGAAGGGGGCGGCAAAATATAGGCGGCCCATGGGCGGCAAGTAGGTGAATCCGGCCCTGCTGTTTGCCGTTGAATTGAGCATTGGAAGCAAGACAAACTTGAAGTCTTGGAAAAAATTGTAAATTTTGCGAGAAGTTTACTGAAAAATTTACCATATCGACGGTGAAACTGTAGGGTTGCGTGTCTCTTTGCGACAATGGAAACTTCCTGTCATACTTCATTTGGTATGTTTAAATATTCTAGGAACTTCATTTCTTAAAAAATTGTCCGACCTTTCTCTTCTGCATGCGTGAGGAATATTTTGTCAAAATTTCAAGAAATGACGTTGGTTTGTTCTCTTTTGACAAAATAAAATGTGAGCACACATTTTAAAACACAGCAACACAGTCAACATACTTAAAATAATATGGCCAAATTGTGCATGGATATTACTGTAATACTGTGTAAGAGTATCACATAATAATGGCTTTTCACTTACATTCCCTCACCTTCATATTTTTTCTCTACAATCATCTTGCAAAAAAATTATAAAATGCCACAAACTCTAGAACAAGAAAGTGAGATTGTTCGCATTTAAATACCGAGCAAAACAGAATTCAAAACACGTTCAATTTGAAGCACGAGAGCATGGGAGTAGGCTAGACCAGGATTAATGAAACAGGCTTCAACAAGAGCGTTGCCAATTCCAGATTAGGAGTCACTGCAATTTATCATTGCGTGGGAGGAAAATTTAATTTTTCAAGGAAGAAGGCAACAATTCCCCGAGACCACTCACTTGGGTGGGCTGGCTTCCCCTCTCTCCTTCCACCCTCCTCTTCCACCCCTTCGAAACAATTTGCAGGACGTGAAAAACGCGGAAAATAAGACGGAGAAAAGTTATTGAACTTTTCCAATGTTGCCTGTTGCGATAAGATCAGGAGGCAACTTTATGAATCAGCCAATAGAAAGAATGAAAAGATATGTGCTAAAAGTTGAACTTTTATTAAACTAAGATCTGCCGTGATATAATAAATAGACATGCTTTAAGGAAGTTATTTTTCCAAGCAGGAGTTGCAACGAATATTGTCGTCAATAACAACGTGATAAAAATGCATCAAAACATTTTTAGAAGTAGGTAATCCGATTTCAAGCGATGAAAAGATGGTATAACTGTGAGAGTACACATCAAAAGTTGCAATTTACAGATGTAAAAATATTGGAGATTTTACAAATATTAAGGTAAGTTCAGTCATACCTTAAAGGTTTTCAAAATCATAGAATTTGTTTTTTTCGTATTCAATCCTTTTTGTGGTGGCAAATCATATAAATCCTTTGCAAGGACCCATTCTCAAAGTTCTACACTTTCATTTTACTCCGGGTTTATATAAAAAGACCTTCTCATAATCTTGTGCCAAAGGTTTCCTCAAAACCTCCATTAGTCAACCATGAAAACCATATGGAGCCTTCTTGAAGAAAGGAGCTGTTTAAGGAGCAAAACAATGAATACGACTCTTAGATTTGACAATTACGCTTTTAGGCTTGAATCCGATCCAGAGCCACCCCTAACCCATCGCTGCTCATCTGCGACCGAGATTAATGAGAAACGTGAAAGTAAAAAATGCCCAGGGCGCAAAATCGATGAGCCGCGAGGCCCACAAGCCGGTGAGGAATTCAAGGCTCAGGCATATTTGGCACTTGCATTGCTACTTACTACTGACTTCCATGACAGGATCTTTTCAGTCGACAACCGATTATGACTACTTTAACCCGAGAAAATTTTAGATCGGTTTCAGGGAACTGAATGCGTCGTTTGATTGATGAAAACACACCCATTTTTGCCCGCCCTCCCACGGTCAACTTTCCTTATTTCCTCCAGTGGCGTGGTGTGCTGTGCGATTTATCGATTCATCTGCCAATTAAACCTATGGAAAAGGATCGATATGTAGGGCGTGCGCAGCGAACACCTTAATAATCGATTCTTTACCATAGCTTCAAATGGGGAAATATCGAAAATCGATCATTCACGCCTCGCCACTGATTTTCTCGAGCCGTTTCTTGTCAGATAACGAGTTCGAAACTTTTTTCAGATTCCTTCTTATTCAGTAATTGTTGAAAAATTGACAGCTTTTCACGAAAAAATAATTGTTAGTGGTTATCCCCTAAAATTGTGGCACTGCCACAATTTGTTGGATGATACGGACATTTCTAATTAATTGTGGTAGAACCGCAACTCAAGTTAGGATAGTACCGCAACATTTGGGTTAGTAACCTAATTTATTGGGGTACGACCACGATTAATTCGTGTACTTACACAATTAATTCGTGTACTATCACATTTAATTGGAAATATCCATATCACACAACAAACTCGTGCTTTTTTAATCCGTGTTCGATCATTGAAGGGAAAATCCGGCTGCGGTCGGAAAATTTCCTAAGGGTGGGTGCTTCTGCTCAACTGCCTGAAATTTGCAATTGAGGAATTTACCGGAAAAAAGGCCCATGGTGTAAAATCACGTTTGAGAAAAATGAATTTAAAGTTTCCATGATTGCTCTCTCGCAACTGATGATGACTTTCATCCGAGCTTGGACTCCTTCTTCCAATGCAAGTCACCGTCAATGGCCAGAGAGTAATTGGAGAACATTGGAGAACTTAAAATGCGCATTTTTCCCGAATACAATTTTTCAATATGGGCCCCTTATCCGGCAAGGTCCTCAATTCCGCCTTGTAAAAAGACAGTAATGAAAACTGGCCCAGTTGTAGCTAAGTGGCAAATATTAGGTTAAATAATGGTGATCAGTTTTTTTTAAATAAAACAACAAATCGCTTGAAAGAAAAGTGCGAAAAAGGAATTAAGTCACGGCTTTTTTTTTACTTTAGGCGGCTGTTGTTAAAAAAAAAAAAAAAAAAAAAAAAAAAAAAAAAAAAAAAAAAAAAAAAAAAAAAAAAAAACAGTTTGGGGCTTTAGATGACGTTGCAGGACTGAAAAGTGGGGTTTTGGCGTCAAAAATTTTCCTCACTTTCATTCAAATGAATTTCGTTCAATACCACTTTTTGTTCTACCTCACTATTTCAAAAACGTCACTTGCTTGCCTTCCCTACACTTTAGGTATCAATTTAAGCATGCT